TCCTACACACAAATTATGAATTGCATGCAACACAGTACTTTATGTTTATAATATTTTTAAAACATTGTTTGGTAAACCATGAAAGGTGAAAAGGGCCACAAAAGCAATCTTGAAATGTGGATTATAAAAGCAAGCATTGTCTGTCATCCAGTTTTTGCCTGGCAAAAGATATGCTGAAAGTTTTCAGTCTGTCGCAGACATAAAACAATCTATTTCTTAAATCCATTTAAGCACTATAATATGACCTAAGCTATCCCTTTTGAATGAATGTGATCACATAAAGAATTTAATATGAAGCATATTAAATTCTTCTGAGAGTTACTAGGATCACAAAGATGAATCTCAGCAATGAGGTTTTAGAAAAGTATACACATTTTAATAAGAGAATTAAATTTTGTTTCAAATTCTCTGCTTTGCCACGTTTAGTTGGGAATCGCATTCAGGTTCTTTGTGCCAAAATAATGGGGTGTATGTGGATAGGTGTGTCTTCATGTGTTCTGTGCCATTTGTCTGAAATGTGATATTGATGGGATAGATTCACCCAGGGTAGGTTCAGTGTATTTCATCATATGCATTAATCTCTGAAAAAGAAGCAACAGAACTCATGGTACAAAGGGAAAAAAGAGAAATAATTTAGATTGACTAATTTCTCTATATCTAAATCTTTTGCAGAATAAATCCAAAGGGAGATGAAGTCCACCCTCTCTGTGTGTTTCTTACTGGCTGGGGTTCAAACTTTGGTCCATGGCCATCATCCTCACTGTCACAGTAATGAGTATGATCATATATATCCCACAGAACCTGATTCCCAGGTTGAAGAAGCTTATCCATGTAAAAGCAAAGCCTATTTCAAATTAGCCCCAATCAATGCTGACCTTGCTTTCAGATTTTACCAGTTGGTTGTATCAGAGGAATCTGACAAAAATGTTTTCTTCTCACCCATAAGCATTTCCATTTCCTTTGCAATGCTGGCACTTGGCGCTAAATCAGCCACTTTGAATCAGATTCTGGAAGGGCTGGCCTTTAACATGGAAAAGACTCAGGAGAAGGAGGTACATGAAGGTTTTTGTCATCTCATCTGTGCACTGAACCGCACAGACCGCGAGAACCAACTGAATATGGGCAATGCCCTTTTCATAGAAGAAACCCTGAGACCACTACAGACCTTTTTGGAGGATGTCAAAAACTTTTATGACTCTGAAGTTTTATACACTGACTTCAGAAATTCTACTGCTGCAGAGAAGCTGATCAATGATTACGTTGGGAAGAAAACCTATGGCAAAATTACTGATTTAGTCCAGGACCTTGATCCACAAACTATGATGGTTCTTGTTAACTATGTTTTCTTTAAAGGTAAGGAATGTTGTAACATGGATTTTTATTGCATGCATTAGTTTGAGATAGCTGACTGGAATCTAAGACACAGGCTGTGTAATTCAGATGTTAAACGAAGGGACACTGTCAACATTGTCCCTTATCAATCTGTTAGACACTTTGTTTGGAAAATACTCCAGTATAGAAAGTCTTTCTATAAATTCCAAGTGTGTCTGTTTGCATATGTGTACCCATGTCCACACGTGTGTTGTCCCCATTTACTAATGGAAGAAACACCACTGTTTCTTAAATACCCTATTTTTTTTCTTATGTTTTAATCTGATGGATGCAAACAGACTCAGGTTAGAGTAGATACAAATGCTCCTGCCTGTTAGTGGAGAACAGCATTGAAATAAAATCTCAGGGTGCTGTAACTTTAATAAAAAAAGGTAATGAATTGAGATGCTCAAATACTGCTAACTGAAGTAAGGCTACATGGTCAGATGCTTTTGTGTTAGTCCACTTCAACTGGTCTTATTCATAATAATAACCACACTTTGCAGTATAATTAGTTACATTCTTTTTCTTTTTTGTCCAAAGCCCATTGGGAAAAACCCTTTGATATTTTTAATACTGAGGAAGAGGATTTTTTTGTGGATGAGAAAACGACTGTAAGAGTCAACATGATGTACCGGCGGGGCTTTTATAAAAATCACTATGATAAGGAGCTTTCTTGTTGGTTGGTGCAAGTACCTTGCAGTGGAAATACTGCAGCCTTGTTTGTTCTGCCTGATGAAGGAAAAATGAAGGAAGTAGAAGATGCTCTGTTGCAAAAAACTGCCTCTAAATGGGAAAATTCCCTCAGAAACAGGTAACCCCTTGGCTTCTGATATGGTGAGAATTGCCTTACTAGGGACTGAATAGAATTCATCCAAAGACAAAATATTTAGAGCCCAATGGGAAAGGGGCAAGAGGAAGGCAGTCAGAAATGGAATGTCAGAATTAAACTCCGCAGGTCCAGGCCAAATTTCTAGCTCAACCATGTATTTTCTTGGCCAAATCAATTAACTGCATACATTCCCTATCTGTAACATGAAGAAAATCCATCCTTTCAAGGGTGTTCTGAAGGTAAAAGGCAGTTAAGTCAAGGGATGGGGTCATCATGGGTAACCTAAACTATCCGGACATCTGCTGGGAAGAACAGTCAGCCAGGTCTGACTGCTCACAAAGGTTCCTAGCTGAGTTACAGGGCCTCCATCTAACCCAGGAGGTGCACAGTCCCACCAGGGGAAATGCCTTGTTGGACCTGGTCCTGGCCATGAGCGACGACCTAGTGAGTGAACTTCGGGTTCTCAACCACCTGGGTGATAGCAGTCATCGCCTACTGGAATTCACAATCCATTGCAGGGTGTCAAAAGCCTGCAGCAAGGCAACAGTCCTAGACTTCAGGAGGGCAAATTTCAATGAGGTAAAGAGACTAGTCAGGGAGGCACTGAGGTCCCGGAGGGGAGGGGAGAGGAGTTCGGAGTCCAGGAAGATGATCCTCCAAGCCCAAAGGGTGACAATCCCAACATGTATCAAAGGGGGCAAGAGTGCTCAAAAGCCCCCATGGCTCACCAAAAACATCCAGGAATGTCTCAGAGCTAAAAAGGAGGCATACACTCAATGGAAGGGAGGGGCCATCACCAAGGTGGATTATACTTCCATTGCTCAAGATTGTAGGAGGGCTGTTAGGAAGGCTAAGGCAGAGATGGAACTGGGACTAGCCACCCGGATCAAGGACAACAATAAGTCCTTTTTTAAATACATAGGGGGTAAAAAGAAGGTACCAGGTAACGTAGGGCCCCTGAAGGATTCACTAGGAAATCTAGTGGTCACACCAGACGACAAAGCTGACCTCTTTAACAATTTCTTTGCCTCCACCTTCTTGAGCAGGGACCAGGGCATCCCCCCCACTAGGATCCCCGACAGACCCAGGAGAGGCACTGCCAGGCCCAGGCACAGAGAGGACCTAGTCAGGGAATTTATGGTGGGACTGGATGTGTTCAAATCAGCAGGTCCCTATGATCTCCACCCCAGAGTGCTAAGGGAATTAGCAGAGGTCATTGTGCGACCCCTGGCACAGCTTTATGAGCACTCATGGTGCTCTGGCGAGGTGCCAGAGGACTGGAAAAGGGCCAATGTGG